GAACCAAAATGAGAAAGAAGTGTTTTATCACTTCTCTGTGATAGGGTTGAACCTGTCCTTACACGCAGCCTTTACCACAAATGCACTTTTGGAAGGGAGTTTCAGATAAACATCAAAACGCTCCTCTTGTGATGTCAAGTGGGAGAGCTCTTTGCTGTCACTGAACCATGGCAGAGGCCAGCTCGGGTTCCCTGGCAGCCCAGGGCTTTGGCCAGCAAACAGCAGCTGGAGCTGAGAGATGAAAGCTGGGTCTTGGACCAGCAGGAGATCCCACCCCACACTCCTCTACCCTCTCATCATCTTGTTTTGTTTCCTATTCCTACAGACAGGGAGACCACCAGCCTCCCAGGCCGCAGAACACAGCAGCATAAGGAAAGTCACCCCTATTTGCTGACATCTCTATCAGGTTTGGGCAAAGGTTACATAGACGAACACTTCACCAGTTTGTTGCATATTTCTGTACCTTTTCCAGTGTTTTATTTCATTGTCATGGCCAGATTCATCCTTTTGTTTGATGGTACCTGGGTAACAAACTCAGCTTATCTTGTTGGCTTTAGTGGAAGAGGAAACATCAGGGGTCTTCTTCTCCACCCAGTAACCAAACCACTTTTGGGAAGTGCCAGTTTCTCTTCTCTGTTTGAGGAAGCTTATGATTACTTGGTTGATAATTTTGCCAAGTCACTTAAGAAAAAAGGTGAATCTAAACTTTAAAACATCCTTCCTTGTCTTTGCAAGCCAGGCAAGACACAAACACACTTTAAATAAAGACGTTCTGCAGTGATGTGCTCAAGAGAAATTGCCTGTTGCTCAATGGGCACTGAGTGCTCTAGCTTGCCCTGGGTCTGAGGAAGCCCTCACAGGTGCTCCAGCTGCCTCCTGGGATCCAACACATGTGGAGTGGCCAAAGCCTTGACTTGACTTGACCCTGGAAACCTCTGGTGACATGACACCGCTCTGTCTCTTTTTTCAGTTGCCCCTCCCTACCATTCATGACTCCTCGCATTCACCTCATGTCTTAGACAGCATTAGTGAATATATTAGTGATTTCAATTTTGAATATTAATAAAATTAACATTGAGTTGAACCTGTCCTTACGTGCAGGATAACATTAATATCGAAGTAACACATCAAAATTTGCCTTAAACCGTTACCCAGCTCCTCATTAGTATTTCAGATCTGAGCTCCCATTGGTTCCAGAATCTGGACCTCCATACTTATCTCTCTGATTAAATCATTATCTTTAAAATCCTTCACAGTTTTCAACCCAATAATAAAGCACAAGGAAAAGTGGCTGTAAGCTTCATGAATATTTATTTTTTCAGCAATGAAGGAGCAAGTTTACCCAACAGCTTTTCTAACTGATTGTCTGCAGCACAAGGAAGCTATGGCCACGTTAACGCAAGCAGTAGTAGTTTATTGTTTTAGTAGACACTTCTTTTTCCTTCCTTTTGAATAAATACACGGCAGGGTCTGGGAGGACGTGTGCCAAGAGCATTACTGGGCGCAGCAACAGCCGAACAAAGCGCAATCCTAATCATAACAGAGCGAGCAAGTATTGTTACAAATGTTCTCTTTAGTATGGAAATGAGCCAGGGGTAATAAAAACACCATAAAAACGTCAAAATGACCGATCACCGTGAAGCGCTCGCCTTTTTATAACCAAAACTTGCAGTGAACTTAGAAAAATTCCTGCCTTAAGAGAGATGCCATTTTTACTTAACGTTATTGTTTGACTTCTTCTCACTTCGCTGCACAGTTAAATGATTGCAGAAGAGAACAACTTCAGAAGGGCACCAGTAAGGACCTGATTGGTATTAAATGGCACTCGAGCACGATGGTGGACTCTGGATGGGAGCAAACTGTTAACCAGGGCATTAACACTGACACTGCTACTGCCTCTTTATGAGAATATGGGGCATATTTAGGTGCTAATTGTTTGAACAGCATCAATAACACATAATGCTTAATAAGATACAAATGAAGAGCTGTGTAACTCGTGTAATTCCATCCGAAAACGCTCAGGAACAGCAGCTTGACTTTAATTACTCAGATCAAAGGAAAAGGATATTTTGAAGTCTGGTCTAAAATGTTATTTATTACTCCTTTCACTAAAGCATAGATCAGCTTGGATAGAAATAGCACTTTGGACTGGATTTGGTTAGTGAAAATGGGAAAAAAGAGTATTCATTGCTTTGCTGATGTCCATGCATATTGGAGGATATGTTAAATACTAATTACAGCAGACTGGCAGAAAGGAAAAGAAAAAAGAAAGAAAGAAAAAATGCATAAGCTGAGGACAAATAAAGGTCATACCTCCATATATTGCTTGCAAAGAAGCTGGTAAACACACACAAAGATGCCTTGGCTAAACAAAACATCAAGTAGGCTTTCTCTTTTCTCCAGATTCCACTCCATAAACAGACAATATACATGTGCCACCTAATAGTCAATATAACACCAGTATTTTTAATGTGGTTTTATCAGCCACTACTTCCTATTTCCAACTACAGTAATCCACATTTTTGATGTTGGGATTTACTTGCGGCTTTTTTACGTTTGTAGCAAACTTCTAAAAGCTGAGAATCTTGGGTGAAGAAATGTTCTGCTGGGAAAATAAGGTGAAGTCTATACCTACAGCTCCCTACTTGCTAGCATTTCTGCCAGGTCCAGAATACAGAACTGACCTGGCAGGTGGCCTGGATGCATCCCAGCACCTTTGGATAACAGACCCTAACCCATCCCAGCCCATTTGGATCATAGATTCACAGCATGGAGTGGGTTGGAAGGCAGCTTTAAAGGTCATCTAGTCCCACCCCTTGCAATGAGAAGGGACATCTTTAACTAGATCAGGTTACTCAGACCCCTGTCCAACCTGGCCTTGAATGTTTCCAGGGATGGGGCAGCCACCATCTTTCTGGGCAACTTGGTATTTCACCATCCTTATCATAAAATATTTTTTTCCTTATATTTGGTTTGAGATTTAATGATTTAAAGGGTAATAAATAACTGGAAATTGGTTGGTGGTCTTGCAGTTTATCCCACTGGTTTGGTTCTATGTCTTGTTGCTCTCTGCAGTTACAGGATAACCAAGATTGGAAGAGAACCTCAAGGTCATCCAATCCCACTGTCAAACCAGCACCACCATAATTAGCCCTAAACCATCTCCACAAATACCACATCCAGTCACCTCTTGAACATTTCCCGAAACAGTGACTCTACTACCTGCCTGGAAAACTTACTCCAATGCCTAACCACTCTTTCAGTGAAAAATGTTTTCCAGTTATCTAATCTGAACTTTCATTGGTGGAGTTTAAGGCCATTTCCTCTCATCCTCATTAAGACCAGCCCTCACCTCACTACAGCTTCCTTTCAGGTAGCTGTGGAGAGCAATGAGCTCTCCCCAAGCCAGCCTCCTCTTCTCCAGACTAAACCACCCTGTTCCCTCAGCTGGTCATCAAAGGACATGTGGGATGACAGGCTCTAACCCACCCCAACACTCTGGATGACAGCCCCTAACCCATACCTGCACATTTGAATGACAGACCCCACAATGGAGGGTACGGGGATGCCCTGCTGTTTGCACAAAGCAGCTGTGAATGTCAGTGCAGAGCCCCACTGCATGTAAATAACGCCATGACTGCAGCACCTAGCTGGGAAGGGCTGGGATCATCCTGCCTGGAGGCAGCTGGAGCTGGGTGTGCAGCCTGGGTGTGCAGCCTGGGTGCCCATCGTTGCCATGAGGTCACTCGTGCCACCACGGTGCTCACTGTGAGCAGCACAGCCAGGTGTAGGGACATGCTCTGGCATCTCCTTTTCTCTGCAGCTCAAATGCATTTCCTTAGGGCCACAAGGCACCACTAGATGACCTCACCTGGGCTTCATGAATCCCTTTATCCCAGTAACATTCCCAAAATCTTCCATTTAGCCACACGCTGTCCCACAAAGCACCCAGCCTTGAAGATTTTGAAAGATGCAGTGTTTACCTCTTCCTTTGATAGCTCCTTCCAAAGTGTGTGCATTTCCCATTTATGTGTGTCTAGCTTCATACTGGGGCCATTAATTTCCTTCCCATCTTTCTCTGCCAATAGGCCAGCCAGGGCAAAGATGTAAAAACCTGGGAATGGCTCCATGTGTCCAACTATTTCCCACTGGACATTGCAGGGATTTTTTCCCACTGGCATCTCCAAGACCTGGAACAAGGTCTGTATGGGTAATAATTCAATGATTGTAAGGATCTTTTCCAGTGATTCCATGTTAATCATCAGCTTTGAGGAATTTGGAGTCCTGGGCATGCTCAAAGTTTCTCATGTAGGAAAAGGTGCTGCCCAGGTAGGAAAGCCATGATAAATTCTCCATTAATATCTGACTGCCTCTCAGCGTTTGCTCACCTCTTCCCCAGGTCTTTATTCCAATATTTCAAACCTCTCAAGGTTTTCAGAAAGCCACAGCAATGGAGTCAACAGAGAAATATTTCCTCTTTCCTTCCCCAAGTACACAATTTCTGCACAGGGATTTTTGGGTCAGAGGCCCAGGTCAGGTCAAGATGAAGTTTGGGTGAGGGCCAGTTTTTTGAACTTAAGATGCCACAGTTTGGACATTTGCTGCCTCTGGAGTGAGTAGTGAGACACTCACAGGTTTGCCTCAAAAGAGGTGGAGGTGCCGAGCTTGACCTTGAAATCCCTGGTCCACTCCAGGTACTCCAAAATTTCATCTTGCTAATTAAAATTTGGCTCCTAGTGCAGTTATAGCATTTGGCTCTAGAGGTGAACAGATTAAAAACTGTCCTTTTTCACTAAAAAACAGAAACCTTTCCTAGATCATTAAAAAAATAATGCCTCTGCTTGATTCACAGAACCCACACAATATCAGACCAAGCTGTGGCATACAGGTAACTTTAGAATATTACCTGCTTTGCCCTGCCAGCACACATTCCTGATGTGTGCTAACACACACACACCCACACAGAGCCATTCTTCCCTTCAAAACACAGAACTCTAAAATGTATTAACACAATTCCAGGCTTTTATTCCTTTTTCTCCCTGCAACTTTTATTACAAAGCCACAGACACACTGTGCCATTCTGTCTCCTTTGATGTGTTCAGTTATTGTATTTGTCACCAAATGTAAACCACAGAACACTTTTTTATCATCAATGCCTGATAAGTTTTCAGTTCGAAAGGGGCCAACCACAGAAAGATTGTCCATACAAAGTTAAAAAATGCCATGCACAAACTGGTAGGTAAAGCCATGTTTGATCTGTAATGCAAATAAAATTAACAAAGATAGTGAGTTTTAAGCCTAAAATTCCTTTGATCTTTGAAGCTCCATGGTTTTAGAAGTGTAACTGCCTTCTGTATCACAACCGGCATGTACATCTATACCCCTGTATGCATATGTATAAAAATATGTAAAATAAAAAATCTGTGTTCAGCATAGGGTCAGTTACCACAAACAAGACAATGGTTTTCTTTGAACACCCTCTATTTAGGGACGAAGATGCATCCAAATCTTTTCCCACTGAACAAAGAACATATTCATATACAACTATGACCTGGTTGAATTTATTAAAACTTAATTAATTTATTTAAAATGACGGAAGACTTTGCAATATATGCAAGGCACAATCAAGCCCTAAAATTCAATGGCATGCAGTAGGGCTTGGGACAGGGTGACTCAGAAAAGGTCTCAGAGATGCCTTGTGAAGGAAAAATAATTCCTCGAAAATGTGAAATCCATCCAGGCACAGCAAGCCAGAGCAGGGCCCAGACAAAAAACACAGCCCCTCCTAAACAGGGTATGTGATGGTGTTTCCCTCAGGGGAAATTTCACACCATTTTTGGTGATCAGGATGGAGCAGGTACCCAAGGCAGGATGAAATCCCCACTCTTTCTGCAAATCAAGACCTTTACAGCATCTCTCATAGTGCATCCAAAACCAGAGCTGCATTCTCAGTGCCACAGCCAAGAGCTGCAGCTGCCCTGGGATGGTGCATCATCCACACGGGGTAGTTTAATGCAATGTTTGTCTTTGGAGAACTCTGTCAGCAGCTCTAGAGATTCATCTTTGATTCAGGAGCTTTGAAGGGCAGGAAGAAACCACTCCTTCCATTTGAGCCATCTGACAAAATGTAAAGGTTTTGCCTGCATGATACAGCACTGCAGAGCTGGGTCACAAAGGGCAGAAGGCACTGGTGGAGAGTGCTATGCACAGCCTGGAATTCTGTGCTCTATGGGAAATGCAGGAGTGCTCTTCTTAACCCACTAACCCCCTTCCTGAGGCTCAGACAGAGCTGCCACTTGAGCTGGTGCTGTCAGAAAATCTCTCAGGGTTTGGTTAGGACTGAACCCCACAAATCCAGTGCTCGCCTCCACCTCAAGCTGGTGTCAGTACTGCTCACAGAGCATAGGTCAGAAGTGTCTCCTTGCTACAACACTGGCCCAGAGAGCAGAGAAGGGCCACGGGCTTGCAGGGGAATCCTGCCCTTTGCCATGCCCCTGATGCTGCTGGAATGTGCAGGAGTTTGGGACATACTACAGTGTACTAAGTAGCTTCCCACAGGCACAAGATATGAGATGTAGACATTAATATCTCTCGTGGAAACATACACTTACTGTCTCCTTGAAATAAAGGTAATGCCCTTAGTGTATAGGGGCTTTTTTTTTTTTAATGAAATGACTCAGTATACTACAGCCTGCCTAAATCATACCTTGTAACAGTGCTCACACTTAAGCTATTCTCAGCTCTCCCTGAAGCTGAGAGGATGCATATAAAGATATCCTTAATCTGAATTTTAGGGATTTCGTAAATTTGCATTGAACCCTCCTGCTGAAAAATACTAGTTATCAATGGGTTGCTTTATTACAATCTCTACAGGAGGACCATCATGAGAGAGAATGTCTTCCCCTAGGGGTTATTACATGGATAAACTACTCCTGAGGCAAGAAAGGGACTTTTTGGAGCAGAATGTATTGGTGAAGAAAGCAGGAGCTGACGTGTTTCACTGAATCAGGGCCCCATCTCGCAGCACCACGGCTGAGCAAACAGGGAACTGTTTGGTTTGCTGGTGATTCAAACAAACCACCAGAAAAAATCACTGCGGGTCAACACAGAGCAAATACCTCCAGAAATGTTCAGAGAAAAGCAAAGCCTAAAAGCACAGCTTTGTTTCAGATTAAATAAAGTGTTTCACTTTTAAATGGAGCAGCTGGTTTGGTGAGTATCTCTTTCATGGAACAGGCTTAAGAAGAAAGTAGTTCCAAACTCACCAAACTTAAAAATTAGCATGTTTCAAATTTTCTTTTTTTTCTTTTTTAAACCATCAAACTGCAAATGAAGAGAAACAGTTGCATCATTACTGAACCTGCTTTCTCCAAAAAAAATTTTGGCATCTGAAGAGCTGGGTGCCTCTCTGTGGTGTGCAGCAGAAGGAAGGTTCAAGCTCCCCTGAAGGGGAGCAGCTCCTGTGTTCTCTCCTCACTGTGCCCAGCTCACCCTCCACTGGCTCCTAAAGCAGCTGCAGTTACAAATTGAGTGTTTCACCTACATTTCATGATTTCCCCTTCCAAGCACCCTGAGGCCAAAGTTCCTTTTACAGCTTCACAAATTATTATGCTTTGATTTACAAAATTTTCTTAAAAAAAGAACCAAACAAAAAAAAAATCCAAGCCAACAAACCACTGCAGGTCTGGGCTTAAAAAACTAATGAATCATCCTCCCACACCCCCCAGAAATGCATAGTGAAACAGGTTTCCCTGTGAGAGGAGAACTCTGCTACTGAAGATGGCTGGGGTCCATGAGAAGTGATCTGGCCACTGCAGACCCTTGCAGTCAGAATGCAGAAAGTGGAAAATGTCAGTTTCTGATGGACAGGATGGCACCAGCAGCACCTGAGGTGACAGGAGATGACACCTGGCTAGTGTGAAAAGGCATAGAGACAGGTGGCCTCCAAGTTAGGAGAAGCACAGTTGGTCACAAGCTACATCAAGTGTGTTCTGAGCATGGCATCTACAGAACCTGAAAAAAATCTTTATTTTCTTTGATCAAAAATACATATAGAAATGCCTGTTTTGAGGAAAATATCATACATTTTTTTCTTGTTTAACAAAATAAATTAAATATACATGACTTCTGTTTAAACTCTATATAGAATTACAAAGGTTTTATATTTTGCAATTGGATTCATTTCCAGTCCATATAGGTATTTAATATGGTCCTTATTTATTTTCTCTTCTTTCTGTTTTTACTGTTATTTGAACTGCAATGTGTTATCACTTACGAAGTGATATCTGAGGGGAGGGGACAACCACACACAACCTAGGTGGATATTTCTCAAATGCAATGTTTTCCTACGAGATTATTTCACTCTCTTTGCTTCTTACTATTTTTCTAATGCTTTCATGTATTTTGCATTGATGCAGAAAATCCAGTAGCTTGTCACTCTAAGCCATCAGAGAAGGACAGTGTGTTTTGCTTTCTTCACCATCAGCAGTTCAATTATTATTATTAATTATTATTATTTCTTAAATATAAATATAAAGGTGTTCTGTACAATGTTCCTCTTTCCTTCTTTCCTTTTTCCTGGCAGTGGCACTGAGTCCTAGGACCAGGGGAGTGGAGCTGATCTGCAGAACATCCCACGGGAAACAAGATGCCTTCACCTTGCAGAAACTGAACCAACCAGCTTGGTTGGTTCAGCTGATTGTGCTGACCACGACTGAGAAGCACATGGCATTTCACTTTGTGAACAGAAATTGGTTTTTCCAGACCCTCTTGTGTTATTTTTTTCCATGGAAGAGATGAATGGGTTATGTCTCCTGGTGCTTTGGCACTAAACCTGAAGTACATTAGAGCTTGAGTCACTCAGAGCAGGACAGGTCTGGGGGCTTCCCACCAAAACAAGTGATGCTCAGCAGGCATCCAGGCCCATCCAGAAAAATCCACACACACCTCTTGCTCTACCTGCTCCTTCCAGTAGCACAAGGAAGGAGGTGGTGGTTCACATCCCTGTGTCCCATCCCACTTGTTGCCACTTTGATTAAAATATCCAGGAAGGCTCTGCTGCTGGAGACAGCTGCCTCCCTGCTGTGAATTGGAGTTCCTTCATTATTCCTCGGCTACATCCTGATTGCAATAATTAAAAAAAAAAAAAAATCTCTTTTCTCTCTCTGTCTTTCTCTATTATATATATATTTATATAGATAGATATAGATATATACACATATATATATACACACATACACACACGCATATACAATTATATATATATGTATATATATATATTTAAAATTACATATATAACCTTTTCTGTTGCTTTGCCTGTTGCTGGCAGTGCGAGCTGACTCGGAGCAGTCTCTGCTGAGGTACCACGAGGAAAAGCCCAAAAGAGGCACTGTACAACCCTCAGCACTGGTACTGAATGTGCTGGTGCTGGTGGACCTTGCCTTCCACGTGCGAGTGGGTGTGGGTGTGGATGTCCGTGTAAATCTTTGGGTACATTTTGGAGGCCATGGCAGGGGCCAGGGCGGGCCCCTGGGACAGTAAATGCTGCTGCTGGGCCACGTATTCCTCGTAGTTAATGGAGGAGATGCAGTCTTTGTCGGGGACCTGGGGGACGCAGATCCTGTCGCGGGGCTGCGCGCGGTGCACGGGGGCCGCGGCTGGAGGGGAGCAGGGCTTCTTCTTGGACTGGCACAGCCACAGCAGGATGGTCCCAAAGATGAAGACAGCTCCAGCAGGGATGCCAATGATCACGGGCCAGGGCAGGCTGCTGGCCGAGGAAGGGGGCACAGGTGCGCTGGGAGGCTTGGGATCTGGATGCGGTGGCAGGGGAGAGACAGAAAGAGTTAATTAAATGCAGGCAAAGGGGATTCAAAACAGATGTCACACTTGGGCTGGCTGCTGTACGGGCTGTCTGGCAACTCTGCCAGACCAAGTAACAAGGGAGAAATCAAGCCAGCACATGATGTTTGGTAACTGCTTTGCTTTGCAGTGCTCCTGGAAGGACAAGCAACTCATTTTTTCTGGTTTAGGGGTCAGGAGGGGCATCTTTGGGGGATTTTATAACTCTCTTATCCAAGCTTTAATGGATGCACACTAGAGCCAACCTGAGTTTCCTAACACTCTCACTCTGTGACAGAATGGGCTTTGCTGCCCAGATTGAAGGACACAACACAGGACGTGTCAGTAAAACCTCACTGTCAGCAGCCCAGGAGGCACAGTCAGGTTGCACAGAGCCATAGCACATTGCCCACCCACCTCTGCCAGGTGTAGCCCTGCCTGCAAGGGCTTCAGACACTCTCTAGCAATCCTGTCTAGCAATTCTGGAGCTACCCAGCACTGTTCCACCATGGCAGAGGGAGAATGAATGTGGGGATTTGGAGGTGTTGTCTTGACTTTCCTGCATGGTTGAGAGGAAGGCTAAAGGATGGGTAAAATGTAGGTGAGCTGTGGCCTCTCCTTGGTTCCCAAGCCATGGAGAACTGAAAGTTCATTCAGCACTGAAGTGTGTCCCCAGCTTCCTACACCAAATGGGTTCTACTTCCATCAGTCTATTTGGAGCTGCTGCTGGCTTTTCAGCAGCAGTAAATTCAGCTTCTGGAGGAGATAAGATGCTTTAGACATCATCTTTCACAACTACCTTCTCCTTTATCTCTCTGAAGTCGGCAGTCAGTGGCTATCTCTGAATAGTCACTCTTTCTCAGCCTGATCTCCTAATTTATAGACCCAGAAGGAGTTTATAGACCCAAAAGGGCAGGATTCTAGCTATGAAAATCCTTGTCTAGATAGCTACCAGATGGAATATCCAGTGCCTTGAAACATATCCAGGCACAGAACTCAGCTTGCAGGGAGACATCCAGAAAACTTTGAAAACAACAGGCTATCTTAATCATTCAATATGTTATATTCAAACATGTATCACTTAACTTTCAAGCTAAACTTCTTTAAGACACTAATGGCTTTTTCTCTCCTTGACAAATAATCCTATGGGTAATTTGAAATGTTAAATATATACCATGTGGTCTCTTTGAAGTTTGGAGGACCTATACTTTGACCTCAATAGACGAAATTTTGATTCACCAACACTTGAAATTACAGAATAATTTAGGCTGGAAGGCAAGTCTGGTCCAGCCCCCTGTTAAAAACATGACATGATCAGAGAACTGACCCATCAGTTCTGACTGAAAACAGAAGTCTTCATGCTACCTGGCTGAAATCCTAGCTGGGCTGAAAAAAAGTGTTTTGATATTCATCTATGTTCCTCAGAGCTGTCAATGTCAAATCTGGTAGATTTACAAGCAAAATGATCTCTTTTAACTCATGGCTTTACAACTACATCTTTGCATTTTAGGGCAAGCTGGGTTCTCCTTCTCCATCACTGCCAATAACCACAGCCCTACAGGCTCTGGTTCTGGCATGAGGCCTCACTACAGTCCCATTTAAACCCATGGAAAGTCTCCCCCTGACTTCAGTGGGAGCTGGAACAGACTCTCATAGGTCAGAAACTCCCAGAGGCTTTGAGTTATATCCCACCCATGCTGCTTTTTCCTTGGAATTTACAGGTCCTTCAGTTAGAGGGCAGTCCTAAATCCAGAATGTCTATCAGGGTAGAACTGCATAGTCAGAAGACAAAGGAGCAAATGACCAGGCAAGGATGGTGTGTGTCAAACACAAATGATAAAGTCTCAGTTGGATGTGGCCAGCAGCTCTGAGGTCTGGGGAGGGAAGGCAGCAGCTGTGAGTTTGGTACAGGGGCTCCAGGGACCATTGGGTAGAAATTTAACTAATCAATCATTCTTGTTTTCACACTCATTCATTTCATTTCCTTGTGACCCAGACAGTTTTTATTCTTCTCTCATTTTATGGGCCTGTATCATTGTTTCCTTTTACTAGTAAAAGCAATAAAAATAAGGGCAAAAGAAAGGAGGAATTTTAGGGAATGAGGTTGCAAATTGTGCTGTTATTCAGTTCCCCTCTCCCATCCTGCAGCCTATCGCTGAAGAGATTCAGTGTTTGCAACTGCAGTCTCTTTTCCCAGCTTGTTGCTCTTTCATACAGGAGCAGATAATTCAATTTATTTCACCTGGATGACCGAGAGGGGCCTCAACAATGTCTATAAGTATCTGCAGGAAGGTGTCAGAGCATGGACCAGGCTCTGCTCCATGATGCTGACAATAGGACACAAAGAAAGGGCAGAAACTGATGTGCAGGAAGTTCCACCTGAATGTGAGGAATAACTTCTTTACTGTGCAGTGACCAAGCACTGAACAGATTGCCCAGAGAGGGTGTGGAGTCTCCTTCACTGGAGATATTCCAGAACCATCCTGACCCAATCCTGTGCCACATGCTCTGGATTGACTCTGCTTGAGCAGGGAGGTTGGACCAGATGACCCATTGTGGTCCCTTCCAACCTTACCCATTCTGTGATTCTGTTTCCTCACAAAGGGAGAAAAGGAAATATCATCAACAGGATTTCAGCAGGGAGTGATTTAAATCAGGGCTGATTTAGTCCCTCATTCATTCTTATCAGAACTGGTCTAGCCTAAATCAGCAAAGCATCACAGAGGACCAGGGAAGCAATGTGCATCAGTAGCTGAATTAATAAATACCATGACACAGACGACTGATAACAGAGGGGGGAAAATGTCACAGCTCACCTGGCAGGACTGTGAGAAAAGCACTTCGGAAGCTGTAGCCCATGGTGTTTGCCCCGAGGCAAATGTACATCCCTGCATCCTCCTCCTTGGCTCGAGTAATCATCAGTTTGTTCAGGTAGGAACCATCTGGGCGGGACCAGACCTCCCCCGTGGGCAGCACGACGAACTTCTGTCCCCCGACATCGATGGTGGAGTTGTACTTGCTCTCCGTGCCATACTCCACCCTCTTCAGCCACTGGATGACGGGTTTGACGTCGCTGCGCACTTTGCACTGGAAGGAGGTGGTCCCACCGTAGTCCACCGTGGTGTTCACGGGGTGTGTCCCTGTCAGGATGGGCTTGGACCTCGTCCTCTCTGCACAGAAACACAGGGAGCCCCATGGGCAAAGGTGTTTGCCAACCTCAGTAGCTTGCAGTTGCAGAAACATAGGGAAAAGGTATAGGAGGGGTGAAAAATCATAGCCTAGCCCAGTTAGCTGCCCCAAGGCAGGCTGAGATTTCTGCAGACTTCTCCTGATACACATTTTGCCAGCCTCTGCCAAAGCCTCCAATGGTAGATGCTCTCCAGTCTCTCCAAACAACTCCTCCATTTTCTGAGGCTTTAACAAGTCTCTTCTCATGCTCAGCCTGAATCTTCCTGTTTATAACAAGGAAGTTCCTTTTCTACCTGCATCAGACCTGGAGATGGTTTCCCTCCGAGCCCTTATATTTTGGAAGAGGTTCACAAGACCATCCTTTCCAGCATGATCATAAGTCTAAGGTTGTGTCAACACCACATAAAGTGAAAGGAAAAATGTATGTCTCATTCTGAGGAATGTTTGGGGTTTTTTTAGGGTTAGGATCAGATAAATCAGTCACAGTTTCCAGACAAGGAGGTACTGCAAACCTCTATCCTAGGCACAGGAGAAATTATGGTATCACAGTGGGTGGTAACTGCTGGCAATCATCAACTCCTTTTGATGGCAAACACTGTTGGATTGAGCATGTAACAAAACAGCTCCCACCAGCACTGGCTTTGGAGTGAGAGGAAGGAACAATGGACCCTCTTTCAAAAACTCGGGATACGTTCAATATTGAGGGCTCTAAATACCACAGTGGTCTCTGCAGGCTTTGCCTTGGGACTGTGAGCAGCAATCACAGCTGGGGAGACTGAGACTCAGATAAGCAGGACTTAGGAGTGGAGGCTCAGGGGGGGCGGGGGGGAAAGGAGGAAATTGAATAAAACCTGTAACGCTCCACAGAATGATGTTAAAAATAGAAAGATGTCTGAAAACTGCTTAATGCCCTTATCTCCTTGACTCTGGTTCCAGCTTTGGTTACTGTTTTCACTCCTAGCCAGCAAAAGCTAATGAAAACAAAGGTTACATACATCTTTAAGTTGATAAAAACCAAGATAAACAGGGACACAGAAAGGGGTTTGTTCCTGGTGCTGTCTGGTTTTGATGAAGTGAAAATGCCACAGCTGCCATTAGGATGGGGCTTGATTCATTTCCCTGCCTCTGCTCCTGGTTTTAGTGTAAACACATGTTTTTACTGTCTCCACACAGCTGCATCTTTATCAATCCCAGATGTCCAGCAGGTTTGTGCCTTCAGAGCCCAAGAGAGCTTCCCACATGTGCTTTTAATTCCAGTGATTCTAGAGAAAGGACTTATCAGAGAACAGATCTTTACCTTTAAGAACAATCTTTCACACTGGGATAAACTTTCTCATGCTAAAATGTATGCACAGACAAACAACATGCTTTCCAAGTGGCTGGAAATAGCCCTCCATGCCCCTGCTCCTCATTAATGAAGGCTATTCAATCTTCCCTCCACTCAGCTCATCTTCTCTTCTTTCTTCAGCTGGCTACTCTGTAATCATTTCCATGACAATTTATGATGATGTCATAGGCAAGGCATAATGATTTGAGTCTAAGAGCTCTTCTCTGGTAAACTTAGGAAGGATTTGAGCATAATTATCCTCAGCAATAATAGGGGAAACAGAAGATTAGAGAGCAAGAATCAGAATAGCTAGATAGTAAGAAGAGCAATTTACCTTACCACAATGCAGGGTAATCCCCCACAGCTCATCTTCTAAGGACTGAATCTTTAAAGCTATGTAGGCATCTAAAGATACAGACAGGTTCCCAGTGGCTGTTTTTAGGGTTTGCTTTTTTCAGTAACTCATTTGTACCTGTCTGGACCTTCAGATGGCCAAATGTATTTTAGAATCTGACCCCAAAGCCTTGTCTGACTAGTCACTCTAATCATAAGCTTCCTGCTAATTCCCTTGGGAAACTTCTAGATTAAATTTCGAATTGACTGGTTTCACCCATTCTAACATACTAATCTGGACTATCCTAGATATTTCCCTCCCTCCCCCATGGTACTTGAAAGGGCATTCTCTGTTAGCTCTCAGTCTGTCCCTGAATTGACTCTCTTGTAGAGGACTGAACTGGGCATGACTTTCACCATGCAGGTGCCTGTGGAGATGATTGTTTCCCAAGTACCTGTCCTCATTTCAGCTCCTCTATTGTCTTCTTGCTACTCTGTCTTGACCAGGTTTCAGGTTCATTCTAGAGTTTCAGCAATGTTTTCTCTGACGTTTTTACCACTTCCCCATTTCCATGTCCAGCCATCAACCCATCAACAGTGCACCCTTGCCACCACACTGCCTCGACTGAGCCAGCCCCCTTCTCCAAGGCCCCTCTGTGCTCTCTCCCCAGAGCTGCACTTACGGATCACTTCAACTTTGTACGTTGCGTTGATTTCCCCAACTTTGTTAAACACCCTGCAGGTGTACTTCCCGCTGTCCTCCGGCTTCAGGTTCTTCAGGTTCAACGTCCACTTCTTCTTCTTGTTCTCCCCAATCTCCTGGGGAGTGAGGGGCTTGTTGTCCTTCAGCCAGGTGATGTCAGGCCTGGGGTTGCCGCTGGCCACGCACTTGAGGCGGATGGAGCTGCCGACGGGGCGGGCGATCACTCTCCGCCTCATCTTGGCAGGCTGAGTGAACCTGGGCCGGGCTGCAAAAGGCATCAGAACGGACTGTGGTCAGCACAGGGCATGAGACAGAAGGAAACTGTTGTCCAGTCTCATGGCCAGATTTGCTTGAGAGGCAGCCCCATGCATACCAGTGTATCGCTCTCCCTCATATCAGCTCTAACTCTTTTCCTTAGAGGGGATTCACCACCCAGCCCAAAGCATTTGAATGCCCACTGGGCTGCTCTGGCCACTGCATTAACCTTCTGCATAGCACAGCCCCAGAATTTCTGTGTCTGTAAGGCAATTGCACCAGACCATCTCACAAAATAATACCAAAATCATGCTATTGCAGCTGAAGGCAAAATGCGGCCCCATAATCACACTGTAATTGTTACCATGTTCCACAAACTCCTTAGCCAAGACCAAAGGAAAAAACTCAGATTCCTGTCACGCTGACCATTTTCTCAATTTTTTGCTTGTCACATGAAGCTTCATTTCCTGAAGTTGTTTTGCCTCTTAGTTCTCCATGGCTTTATTGGGACTTAAGAAGAACCAGCATCTTTTAAATACATAGGAAAGTCTTAGAAGTGTGACAGACTTTTGTACATTGATCTGAACTTAGATGTATGTAATTTATTCACCTTCAATTTACAGAACATTTATGGTCCAAAGAAGCAAATAACGACATGGAAAGAGACCCAATAAAACTCTGAGTTTGTTATTAGAGGATAGCCCATGCCAGTCCATCTGGAGAATCTGAAGCAATAGCTGCTGGTGGATAGAAGTGTGGGTTAACCCAGTCATCTTGTCTTAGCAAATAAATCAGCAATATTTCTAACAGCAGAGACAAGGAACTTAGAGAAATGCAAGGCCCTCACCTGGCAAAATCCGAAATTTAATGAAAAAAGAAATAACAAATTTCTCAGTTACTTTAACTACACAATGCCAGTCCAGGGGCACTTCTAACTAAGCCCATCATAGAACTGTTAAAGTTGGAAAGATTATTGAGTTCAACAATTATTCTAACACTGCCAGCTCCACCATTAAACCATGTCCCTAAGCAGCACATCTACATGCCTTTTAAGCACCTCTAGGGATTCCCTGGCCAGCTACAGGATGGCTTAGTGAGACTCCTCACTTGACAGCCAGCCCTGCTGCCCAGGGCTGAGGGCCAGAAGCTCTGGGATGTGCATTATAGTGGAGCTTTCCTGAATGGAAGAGGCTGCTCTGCATCTCCCTGTCCCCAAGCACTGGGGAATGGCACCATTGCCCTCTGAGGTTTGTGAGCACACCCCTTGTCCCTCGCCCCCCTGCAGCCTTGGCCAACATCCCTCCCTCTGGGAAGAGAACACCCTTTGGCATACCCCTCTCCACAGAGTGCTTGTCCGTAGGGGGAACCATCTGTCTCCACAGCCTTCCCTTGCCCCCTTTGGCTGTCATTTTGGGTCCCAGCCATTTCATGTTATTTCAAACTGCTGCTCAGAAATGCTTTGCTCTCCATGCAGAGGCTTTCATGTGTAATCCAATGAACCGGAGTAACTCCGGCACTGGAAGTCTTTGCCGTGACAGCTGAGCAGCAAGTGTGACATACTGACCCCCTCCACAGGTCGTGGTGCCTGGATTGCTGGGTGTTCCCTTTGGGCTCTGCTGCAGGAGGCCCCCCCACAGCAGAGACAATCCCCCTCCCTGACAATGAACCCTGGCAGAGCTGCACACTGGGCAAGGACAACCTAAATTTTAGTCTGAGCCGAGGGAGACGTGCTGATAAGAGCTGTCACTGTGGAAATTGAAAAAATGTCTGCAAGGCTCAGGGAGAGGTCAGGAATCAGCCATGAAATGGGCCTGAACAGTTGCTCTGTAATATGGCAGTAATTTGCTCTGAGACCAGGAGCTCCAGGTCTAAGTAGAGGATAGATCCTCATGGACAGGATTCCTGAGCTGGGACTAACATACCAAAGAGCAAGTTGGAGCCAGGACAGTCACACTCCCCCAGAGGACTGAAAAGTCAAGTGAGTGACTCTGAACTCTCAGAAGGACTTTCTGGCATCCCTGCTTTAAGACAGAAACTCTTTCTACCCCAAAAAAGCAGGTCTTTAACATTTCTGGTTTTCCTCCCACTGTGACTCTCATGAGTCTGTCTGGAGTTTTGCATTCACTCCCCACACATGGTTGCCCAAATACATACTAAACTACAGGTAAAGTTACACTTCTTTGCATCTTTCAGCCTTTCTTTCTTTCTTTTTCTGTTTAAAAAAGGTTAAGTGATTATGTGGTCTCAAAAGCTACTACAGGCTGTGTGCAATATGCTGAAACCAGATCCCATTTACACAGTCCTGAATGTTTCCTTGACAAAAGCCTGAATTGGACAAGTTTAGAAAAGCCAGTTAACAAAAAAAAGGAGAAAGAGAGAGACACACACACATATTAGAGAGAAAAAGAGACCCAGCAAGCACAAAGGAGAAAGAGGAGAAGCAGCACTGTGAGAGACGGGCAGAAAAGGTATCTTTTGAGTTGATGCTAAATGTCTGTCCCCAAATCTGTTCCATTTACAGAAGTTTTGCTTGTTGGAGTGCCAGCAAAGGCCATTACAAAGTGCCTCAGTGTTATTCACAAGCTTGTTCTCCTCCACATCACTTGGCATTTGCTTCATAAACATGAACCACACATTTGTACAGTATAAATTATGTCCCACTCAAGAGCAAGGGAAAACACAAGTGGATAGGGACAAAGAGACAGTGTTGTGTAGGGGTTCCTGTCTGAAATGCTGTTTACCATGAAGATTTATTCAAAGCTAATGAAAATTAAATACAATGGAAGCATGTCAGCACAAAGACCTGTGAAAGAATTCAGTGGTGTCCTCTCCTTGTGGGACACCTTGAGAGGCAGGGATCAGTCCCTGAGGCTCCTGTCAGACACAGCTCACAAAAAGTGAGGTGATTATCTGAAAATTGTTGTCTGCTGTGATGCACCACCATTACCTCCATGTAGTGACAGTCACTACCACTTCCAGCCTTCATGACAATTCCAAAAAAGTGTCACAATAGGACTATGTATTGAAATATTTTAAGTCTTCTGGTTAAGAGCTCAGTCAGTTGTGGGAAGACATGGATGGGGGTCTGTCTTTCCCCACATCAGTTCCCTGCTCTCCCCAGAGATACCACTCTGTGATGGTATATGGAAAGTAAAGTGGAGTTGTTTTTTTTTTGTCCATACTTCTCTTCTCACACTTCTCCAAGGGCCCAGGACTGTGACAACAGAATCTGCTTCTTCACCCATCATCCTCCAGAGACCTTCAGACACACACTGACCCTCCCTGCACACCAGCTCACACCATTTACTGCTGAACAGTGCTGGATGGAAAGGGCTTAGGTGGATGTGTGGCTGCCCCCAGACATTGCTCTGCTTGGGAAGAGGAGAGGAGACAGGAGGGGTGAAAAGAAGAAAAAGAAGAGGTTCAGGAACACTCTGCAGCACAACAGACTGGGCCAGGGCAACACAGAGTAAGACACAATCTGATAGGAGATTGTCAATGCCTAATAATTTTAGTAGGGCTTACATCTTTTCTTCATAAATTGTTGTAGTATTGTGGTATTGATCCACTATCCAGCAGCTCCACCAGGAGCACAATGGTAATGAAAAGTGGAGAGATGGCAGCTTTGTACTAGCTGCTGAATCCCTCCTGAAGTACTCTTGAAGTACTCCTGACCTGTAGTTTATCTAGGACACCCTTCCTCCAGCTCTAAAATGTTGTCATCCTTTTCCAGAATGAGAAGATGTTACCTTTCTCTCCCCAAACAATCTCACTGTGAGATAAATATGTAATTCAAGTGCAGCCTGGACTACACCACAGCACACCACATCCCTGTTTGCCAGCTGCTGAAGAAAACTGGCCTCAGCTTAAGTGGTGGGGACTCATACAGCAAAAGCTTGTCAGGTTCCACCCCTACCACTACTGTGAGGTTCTCCCTGGCCACAAATGTGGTACAAAGCCATCTCTGGATTATAAAATTAAAGAGAGGTATGTACTGCACGAGCAAAATGAAATGCTGTGTTTCATCCACTGAGCTCATAAACTCACATCACACTCCTGTCAGTAATGGCCAAAAGCTGTTTGGCATCAGCCTGACAACTTATTGTCCTTCAAGGAGTGCTTGGACCAAACTGGGCCTTCAAGTTTTGCAGTGGATGCCTGTTCCAAGTAAGATTTTAGCAGCTCCCCAAAGCTCTGCAACAGCAACAAAACCTTATGCCTGAACAGTCCATGGTTTGGAAAGGCTCAGGCAGGTGTCTGAAAGAGAGGGTGATCTTAAAAAATACTCATCTTGGCTTAGTGCTAATTCTCCTGAAGTGAAGTCAGACCTCCCATTTGCCCTCAGTGGGAGCAATGTTATATTGGCACTGAAGACTTTTGGAAATATTGCTGTAAAAGTCAATATGCTTTTTATAGGGAGTCTATGAAAGCTGTAATAGCTGCACATGCAAAAGAAAAGTCGCTGCCCAGAAAAACAAATACAAGGGAGAACCATGCTAGGGTAAATGGCAGGGGGCCCTAGGGCCGACCACAGGCTGCATTTTGCAGGACCCTTGGATGGAATCCATTCACACCAACACATTCAGCTGACACTCTGTTTATTTGACCATATGTAGGGAGAACTCACTCCAGCCGCTCTGCCTTTCCTCTCCTTCAGCAACTGAGAAATGTGCCACGTGAGCAGCACTGAACCAAGGGCCAAGGAAAACCACAGAACACACACTGCTCCTTACCCCACTGCTTCCCAGAATGATCTTCATATTCTCCATTGGAGCCTTCAGGCACCTGGCCGTCCTTTCCTGAGCTGGCATCATCTGTGAAGAAAGGAAAGGGAAGATGTTAAGAAGATCTCCTGCAGCACAACAGGATGACATCAGGAGTTTGCATTTCCTGCTGGAGACACCACGCAGCTGAAGCGAACTCAACATACAGCAGGCATCCACATCCAGGCACCTACAGCCTGGCCAGTTTAATGAACAATTTCATTTTCTGCTTTATGAGCTTTTCGGCAGGCTACCAAATCAATGGGAGTTTAATCAATGTTGCCATTAATAGCTGACAAAAGCTTCTCTGTTTGTTTACAGGTTGCTGCTCCCTAGGGAAGCTGATCTGTGGTACCACCTATGCAAATAATGTCATAAATCATAATTAGAGATAATTAAACCTAGGAGATGGGGGAAGACTTATGTGATCAGTCATACAGAGCACAAGCAGTACAATGTGGCCCCTAATTCACCCTTCAGCTTCCACACAGGATCAGAAAAGCAAGCAGGTCTGGGGTCAAATGAGCTCTCAAGAGATACTGAATGCAAATTTATGGCTGGAAAAAACAATATTGATTTTAAAAGCTGCTTGTGGGTATTTCTTTTTAATTAAGACCACCCATCCACCTGTATCAACACACCACTTTGTCCCTCATCACTCTTGCTGTCTATACCACTAGCACACAGCAGCACCAAAATCTCAGCTCTGTCCTGGAGAAATAGAAATCTCTACAAGGTGAAACTCCCATCTCTCCAGCAGCCCCCACCTCAAATTGCTACTGTGATATGGGCTCCTATGTGGTCTCCAGGAGGGCTAACGGGGTGGAGGAGTGTCCTGAGCCTCCTTCTATAACCTAGGTGATACTGGTGGCCTCACACATCTGCAGCACCCAGATGTGGAAGTTTTTCCTCCTCCAGCTTGACCTCCACTGCACAAGTGCTCAGCTCTGAGCAGCCTCTTACACAGCAATGGCTCACATCTGGTGGAAGGTCCACCTGAGGCACTCTGGGCACCCTCACATGATGGTGCAGCAAAACATTCTCTTCTAAGATTACTTCTGTGCTCTAAAAGGTGCCACAGCCCAGATTTGGCACAGCCCCAGCTGGATTTGAAGTGGCAATCTCCACCAAGAGCTCCTTAGCTCCTAGCTAAAGTGCACTGAAGTGGGTGAATTTGATTTTCAGAGACAGGTCAGGTGAACACTGGGAAAAAGTTTGCCTCAATAAGGAACACAATGGTGTAAAAAACCCAAACAAATAAAGAGAAGTGGAAACATCTAATTTAAGGAAGGAATCCCTCCAAATGCCCAACTGCTGAAACTCGTAAGAAAAGGGTCTTGTGAGCAAAAGACAGGACAATTATTTCCGTAATCCCTGCAACAGAGAGGAAAAACCAATCTCAGTTTATATATAAGCATGCCCCCTCAAAAAGGTACAAATATTAAAACTTCTCTTTACAGTTGTTTTACAAGTTGGGCTGTGCTTAAAACAGTATTTGGTGTGTAAACTTGTGTGCAGTCTTTGAGAGAGAAGAATGTGTCTTTAACCCAATGCTCACCCCGGGTTTTGCTATTTTGGAAAATCATTCCACCTCTTCAGCACAGGGCATTATATGCCAACAGATGCTCTGCTCTCATTAGCCTTGTCCCTTAAGCAGAGAGGCTGCAGTGCCACGTGAGTTTTACCCCCTCAAGCCTGAGAGATTTTTCTCTTCTTCTGGCTACTTCAGCAGAGTTTCTCCTGGAGCTATGTACAGCTGTCACTTCAAGGGGAAAAGAAAACTTTCTGGGCAGCAGCACCGTGCTCAAACCTCAGCAGCTCCTCCAGCTGATTGCCCCATCCCACCTCCCACCACCTTCTGTCCATGGCTGGGCACCCTGAGCCTTTCCTGGGTGCCCCAGCCACCTCCCAGCCCAAACCATGGGCAGCAGGTCCCAGCAAACAACAGGTCTTACACAGAGCCTAACTTATCCAAGCTCTGCCTGCAGCCTGTGTTACAAGAGGAGGCCAGTGCTGCCTGAGCTGCACTTGGCAAGTTTATTTTTACAAACTTGACAAACCAAACACAGGGAATACAAAAATACACATTATACATGATAGCTCGCATATGACATCGTCTCCTTTCAGTCAAAATACCAAACTGACTATCTCCTGGCACTTGTACAATTTTTCTCATAAATATCCACAGTGTCATGAAGGAACTCTTGGATGCTGTCTGACAAGAGAACATAGTAAATCCCTCAGCACAATTAGAAAAATGTATTGTAATGGAGAGGAAAAACTGTGGCCAGAGATGTGGGATTCCTGTCCATTGTTAACTGCTGAATATCATAAAAATGGTTAAGATGTTTAAGTGGTGATGCTCTGTCAATTATACCTTAATCCTGCTCAGTTTGAGGCAGAAAGACCAGGGTATCTCCCTTGCTGCCTGGTGTTACAGTAAGTCAGCCCCTGTGCCCTCCTCCTGCTGACACACAGCCACTGACTGTGGACTCCACACCTCTTGACTTGCTGCCAAGCTTTTGATGTAAGGAAAATTGCTCTGAATCCGTTTGATCTTTTGAAGATGCATCGTCAGCTGTTATCCCGAAAAATCGCAAACCTATGGAGTCACCTACCAAACCCAGAAAAAACATTTTTGGGGAAAGAGATCAGGATAACTTATGCCACCATGCTGACCCGATGGAATACATGATCTGGTGGAGAAGCAAAACTGAAATAAATAACCGCAAGCATTTAGGTACATTGGTTTAGATACACTGGACTTGCTTCCCATTTGGGAATGTGGCAACATTAACAATAGCAGAAGTGTTGAGGTGGGGAAATGCCACAAACATGGAAATTCCTGTAGAGCAAAACTGCTCCTTCCCATCCTCAGAGCTGCTCATGGAGTGAGGGATGTCAGAGCAGACCCTTCCAGCTGCAATGTGCAATGAACTGGGCTTCTACCTTCCCTGTATCTGAACAAACTCACACTCAACTCTTGCACCTTGGGTCGTGACCTGTGGTTGCAAAGAACCAAAGAAGAGTGGCCTTATTACTTCAGGAGAGAGATAACTCAGGAACACCCTGAGGATGGAACACCCTGTTTAATTCAGACATCATCAATATTTGACCTCCACCTGCCTCAACCAAAGTCAGTACTGTGGCTGCATGGAGTTTGTTTCTCCTGCTTTGAAGAACTTCCTTATTTTTTCAATTTTAATATCAAGTGGTTTCCAAGGGTAGAGAAACACTTTAATAGTGTTTACAGGGGTCTGTGATGCTGAAAGCAAAGTTCAGAGGCATCTGGTTCAGCCCACACCTCCAGTCTGAAGCCTGGTTAATAATGTCAGATCTGAAGACCTGCTGTTTGCATTTCACTCCAACTTTCACAAGCACTACTGGCCTGGCAGTATTCTACTTAGACAGAGAGAGAACCTGGAGGAAGAAACCACATTCAGATATATATGAGCTGCACACAAAATAGTGAGTTAGTAGCAGAGATCATGAGTCTTAGCTATATTCAAGAAATGACCTAATAAGCTGATTGCTCATTCATGCTTTTGTCAGCTCCCCACAGAGGTGGGCAGCTCGGGGTGATAAGTACATACAGAAAAATCAGCCTGCAGTCAAAGGGCAGCAGGAACCAGCTATGCAGCACTGCCAAATTTGCTGCCAGCAGATTACCATGAGAGGCAGTGCTAAGAAGGATGAACTGCTGAAGTTTCCTACAAGCTCTCTTTTCTGTGACCTATACTGGAAGGTTATCCTGCACTGGACTTCTTGGACAGTATCACACGCTTAGGATAGCAGCCAGTTGGAAGATGAAGTGGAAAACCTGCCTTGAAAAGCAATCACTGACTAATTTTATGTCACGAGTATCTGATGCTAAGAAAACATACACATGATTTAGGTGTCCTTAATGTACAATTTGGCTCCATGGTGTTACAGAGCATGCTGGCTGGTCAAGAAATTTGAAGGGCAAGGCTCCAATATCATGTCAGGTGACAGACTTGGAGACATGGGACAAACTCGTGTAGGCCCTTCCCCTCCAAATATTGCACACAGCCATTCAAAACAGGGCCAGGATGGATAGAGAGGCATCAGCCCACTCTTCAGGAATGTCACCTCAGTGGCATCATCCTCAGCTGTTCTCCAGTGATTGCCTCTCCCTTGCTTCAGGAACTCATTCCAAGCTGGCTTTTAGGTCTGAGATGCCACAGGACTGAGATGCTGGTGGTGCTGGGGAAGAGTGTGGTGTCCCAAAGCAGGCTGGATTTCTGCAGAAAAGGGATTTCTGAGTGTAAATCCATAAAATGACAAAGCCCACTGAGGAGCCTATGGGACAAAGGCTGCCACATCAGTGGGATATGGTTACTGTTTATTACCATAGCAGAATTGTTCCATTCCCTCTTAAAAGTTAAAGCACATGGAAAATTCTGCATAACGGTCCAGCTCTGAGAGCAACTGATGGGAAATACTCAGATTGTTACTGAGTCAGGATCAAATTTTATTTACCCACAGGCTCTCCATGAAGGCTTCATGTTTTAGCCGAAAGGGTATGACTGGTTTTCAGGCCAATACCATGTGCTGAGCATCCAACCACAAGTCAAAACAACAGCCCAATTTTTGAAGCAAAAATCTAGCCACCATATTTCCCTATGATTCACAAAGTTCCTTCAATTTGTTATAATGCAAGGCCCGTCCCTGCTCTGACTTGATGGGACCAGCTTTGGAGTCTTTGATGTCAGAGGCCTTGAAAGCCCCATTTCACAGATGAGCCAGCTTTGCATAAATAAACAAAGTGACCTCTGAACTGGAGCCTGAGACCTGAGCACACTTCAAAGCACTGGGGGAGGCGCTGGGGGGGCAGTGGGGAATGAAGCGATCAGCATCCATCATTAAGGCAGCCCCCACTCCACACTGCTGCTCAACAAGGGGTGTAAATAAAAGGAGGGAGGCAAGTAGGGAGGGAGTGAAATGAGGGGGAAAGTGATGTAATCCAGTCAGGCTTGAACAATTATAATGAGGCCTTCTCCTTCTCCCATGGATGAATGGAAGAAATCTCT